GCCTGATTTCACCACGATGCCTCATAAATGCCTCCAGTCATTCTACCCCATCGGGAGAATAATTGGATGTGAAGCATCAACGTCAGAGCTGGATATTATATCTATATCTATTTGGGATACAGCCAGGCAAACACAACTATACCACATTTGAGGGCACGTTCTACTGAACATCTTCAACGATGTGCATGTGCATAAGCACGAGGACCTTTTGAAACTATACTCTTTTACTTAGTCTTTCAAGGCCTGCGGGCCTTCAGAAGCCTGTGCTGGATTTAATATGTAGGCTAGTTATTGTCTACCAAAATAAAGAATGTTCGCTTCTTTTAGATTAAAAAATGAGGATATCACACGTCTTTATCTCCTCATCATTCATGGTATGTTCAAAGAGTACGATGTAGAACAAACGTTTTTTAAGGTAGCACTGTCCTCAAATTTTAATGTGTCGATTTTTTTTCTTTCGTGGAAGGGCGGAGGTGTGGTTTTTGCAGAAAGTTAACACCAATCTGCAGTGTTTGGTTTTCATCAAACACTTTGCCATGTCATTAGTTGGTTACATTTCTCAGCTCTGTCCCTGCTTCTGGTCTTGAACGTTCAATGTCGGAGAGAAGCTACAGCGTGCGAGATGGTGTGCTGCTCTGTTATGAACGAAAGCCCTCGCTCACTTAGATTTTATTCTGTTGCAGGCCGTACCTCACTCAGTAATCAAAATCAGATTGCGGTACCGTACTTTAACTTATCCTAGACGTTGAAGACTTCTTGATCCATTGCACCAAGATAACACCGGCGCCTGTGACGCAGCACTTATGAGCTTTGCTGTCGCACACAGGAGACCTGAGTTCGATTCCCGAGTGGGGAGAAAAGTTTTATCGAGTACGGTATCTCTATCTTTCTACTGGAACGATTTAGACACATCCCTTTCAGCCAGGGATGGCTCTGACTAGCACAAACGGAAGCCCGCCTCCTAAATGATCTAAATTGTGTAGATAAGGGCGTTAAAACATCTACATTCAAAATAAATCAACAGAAATAGCTTTATTAGTTATGCTCCATTGATGAACCAAAGATTTTTGAAAATGTTAGACATGTTGAGCTAGGCTTAACATTTTGGAGGAACTAGACATAACCAGAGAGGATTAAAGAATTGTAAGAAATATATAAATTATACACTGAAAACAGAATACAACAGAACGAACTGAAGAGAGCACACCGAATGTATGAGGTAACGAAAAGAAAAGAAAGACAAATGAATAACCGGGTCGTTTCAACGTAATAACTTTAATAAGCCTCAGAACAATCCTTAGAAATATAAAATAAACCAAAAATTCAGGTCTCGAAGTAAATAGTGAAAATGATAATTAATAAAAGTCTTGATCATCTTGCTCTCTCTCTCTCTCTCTCTCTCTCTCTCTCTCTCTCTCTCTCTCTCTCTCTCTCTCTCTCTCTCTCTCTCTCTCTCTCTCTCTCTCTCTCTCTCTCTCTCTCTCTCTCTCTCTCTCTCTCTTTCTCTCTCTCTCTCGCTCTCTGTCTCGCTGGGTGACGGAAAAAGGGGGGGGTAACGGTGAGAGGTAAAAAAGACAAGTAGATAATCTAGACCGAGGATAATTTATTGTAATAATAAATAAAGAACAGACGTGTTTAGGGGGGGGGGGGGGGGGGGGGAACAGGATAAAACAAATGTTTTTTTAAAAGGAATTCCCGAGCAGAGCAATGTGTCATGGGACGTAATTGCCGGTGGCTGTTTCAGGTCCTGTTCTTTGAAGAAGAAGAAGAAGAAGAAGAAAAAGAAGAAGAAGAAGAAGAAGAAGAAGAAGAAGAAGAAGAAGAAGAAGAAGAAGAAGAAGAAGAAGAAGAAGAAGAAGAAGAAGAAGAAGAAGAAGAAGAAGATACCAGGGCAGGGTACGCTACTCTGCTTTTATTTTTTGGAAAGGCCAAAAAAATATATAATTCAGCAGTTGTTTCCCTTGATTATTCCTTGTTCACGCACGCCGCTTCTCGTCGCTCCCAATAAAAACTTTGCTGCGAAGCGTGGGCACACTAAATTGTCTTGTTGCACCACTATCCTCCCATGAAGGACAAAATATCGGTCTCGATATAATCTGGTTTTCCATTAGGCTCAAACGGATCGTCCATGCAAAGATTCTCTACTCCTACTAGATCTAGTAGTGAATCTTTGGCCCAAGGAATTTACTACATGTATGATTATAAAACTCCCTGGATTCGCCCCTACCGGAAATACGCCAGAGTATACAATCTAGGATATTACATTGTAGATCTATAATATAATCTAACACAATTAATGTTGTTTAATAGATTGTGATGTACACTTTAGGTGTAAGCTTGTGAACACTGACAAAGATACACATAAAAAACGCGAGTTGTACCGTCAGTGCTTTTAAAAAAATAATTTGGTGGAATTGCTTGTGTATACCTATCAAAGTAAACTACACATTATGGCGTTACAGGAGTTAACAATAGATCTAAATGTGATTTGCGAGTTACAGCGTTGTCATCGTGTTTTCATACACACATTAACAAAAGGGCAAGTATCTTAATAATAATAATAATAATAATAATAATAATAATAATAATAATAATAATAATAATAATAGATAGATAGATAGCATTTGTATAGCGCATATCCCCGCTCAACAGCAGGCTCTTTGCGCTTTACACTATATTATTACCCCAGCAGACCATAGACCACTCCGAAACATTCTCAGCTTCCGCGGAAGCATACAGTGCAAGCTGCGGATTTCACGCGCTCAAACACTATCAAACTGACAAGATATTTCTCTGTCTATAGCTGGGTACCCATTTCCACCTGGGTGAAGTGAGGAAAATTTGTGCAAAGTGCCTTTCCCAAGGACACAACGTCGGACCCCTGACGGGATTCGAACCCACGACTTTACGGTTGCGAGTCCGAGACAGCTTGCATGTGTACATGTATTAGCTTACTGTAGGCTCTCGTCCTGGCACATTTAAGTTACAGCTAAGTAAAGCGAGCATCTTTTTTTGTCTGAAGTCTACCTGATGATGAAGGTGGTGATGCGGTCGCAGTCACTTTCAAGAGGTGAACAATCATTTAATTTGTAGGTTTTATCTAAAGCCATCAAAAACATTTACGTTGTATCTGTCAGTAGAATATAACTCAAAGGCAGATCCATACACGTATTCCTGAAACACTTTTTTGTAAGTGCAAAAAGACAAATAGAAGCGTTGCTAGCTGTATAGGCCTATGTATGATATGTATGTATGTATAAGTTTATTTGGCGGGGGTGGATGGGGGTATGGTTAATTCAATAAAACAGGAATTAACTTTCCAGTGCAATTTTAGCAAACATTGCTGAACGCAATGATAAGGGAGGGCCATCAGTGATATGCAGTAGGCTTGACAAATCTTTTGTTATGTCTTCTTTCTAAATACAGAGATTGAATTCAACACTGTCCTTCGGCAGGTTGCCGGTCCATTTTTCCAAAGACACCAAAGTGTCTATGTCGGCTTTGAGAAGAATGGGGCTTACGTGGGTCGTAAGAGGCGACTGAATGGCAACACAGGTAGTGCCCCCCGAAACAGAGACACCTGCTCTTCAAAGTTGGGGGTGGGCCAAATAGGTTGTAACCTCTGGGGTGTGGGCCTACTAAACAAATCCGTCGTTACAGAAAGGTCACAAAAAGGAAGACGTCATCAAGTGGATGTGGACTAGTCTTGTGTCAAACAAGATATCAAATGATAAATTTTGGAGTATGGAACGTCAGAACAATGTTTGAAATAGGCAAGGTGTTTCAGACAGCATGGAAAAGACAGAACTACAACATGGATACATTGGGACTTACAGAAACAAAGTGGGAATAAAGAGATCAGAGAAGACAAAGATGAAAAAGCAAAACATAAAAGAAGGTGTGGCATTCACGCTTCCAAAGAAAGCGGAGACAGCGTTTATCGCATTGGAAGGACTTTGGATCCAGAACAGTTACAGAATCCTTCACTACAAAGAAAAGGAACATTAACCCAAATGTCATCCAGTACTACGCCCCCACAAACGACAAGGAAGATGAAATCAAGGATCAGTTTTTACGGCCAACTTTGTGACCTTCCAATTGAGAAAGAAATCGCTGATGCAATAATACGGCAAAAGAGTGGAAAGGCAGAAGGCCGAGACTACATGCTGCCTGAGGCACAGAAACTTAACATTTGTACATCGGTAAGTATCCTACACCTGCTATTTGAGAAGAATTGGACTACAGAAGAATTTCTTCATGATTGGAAAGAAGGCCAGCTTATCAAGTCTCAGAAGAAGGGTGATGTGACTTATTGTGGGAATTACACGAGAATAACAGTTCTACCAACACCGGGAAAAATATTCAACATGTTTGACTTTGGGCGCTCGAAAGAAATATTGTAAATATTCATGCACCTCAGAGAAAACCAGGCAGGTCTCAGACAAAAACCGTTCACGTTTCAATCAGACGCGACTTTATGAATTATTGTTGGGCAATCTTTGGAATAGAACTAATCAATTCTGTCGTTTTTCTGCTGCTGATACGAGTAGTTGTCGCAGCATTGGGAATACAGTAGTGTTTTTCCTGAGAAAAATCCAGCCGATATGAATGCACCAGATGTTAAAAAAAAATAGTAACCACCTAACAGTAAACAAAAATCGAACAGTCGCATTCGTGTCAATAATAATTATGTTATGACCTTTCTGAGATATTGAACATATGCTCTGAAACCACAATTTTCAGTCTGCTGCCCTCGAAACTCAGTTTCTGCAGACGTAATGCCTTGAAATTACACGTGTACTCCCTCAGAACGCTTAGTTTATGTTTAAGTTTCATTTTATTGTGAGGGGTAAACTGAAAGCGGGGTGATCTGTGATCTTTACACCGGACAGCGAAAGCAAGCAAGGGCAGTGACCAAACGAACCGGCTCCGAGACAACTCCCGACTCGTTCTTGGACCCACTAGAGGGCGTTGATCTTAACCATCGTTTTCAGCGACCAATCATTTATTCGAAAGCGTGCAAGATTCCCTCTCAGGAACGAGTCCTTTTTCCGCAACGCCATTTTTCTTGAACATGGCTGATAATCCCGGCTCTGCTCAATTCGACGGAACAAGTGCATTTGCTTCGGCTGTTGCTCGCGCAAGACAGGTAAGTTGTGGGTCATCTTGCTTTGTTCCATGTAAATGAATATTTTCTGGTTTGGCAGTCGTAAGACGTACCTTGTGCTGCAGCAAGTGCGTTTTGCAAAATCGGTCGACGAAGTCACAGTACAGCGTTTTGCCCGTCGAATTATGCGAGCACGTGGTGATCAAGCAATTTTTGTTGGCAAAGTATCATATTCTTCTTTGCAGCGAATGGTATTTGTGTTGCACTATGAGTTGTAAACATACAACTGTTATTTGACTTGTTTGCATTTTACTTGAATTGGGTTATGCAGGTCAGGTCACACAATGTCGGAAGGGGGTGAAGTGCCTAGAGTGAGGCTAGGCCAAGTCGTCATCTCCTTCCTTGGCGGGGGCCGCCTTTGTGTCATGATCCAGTCTGCGCCGGGATGGTTTTCCCAAGTAGCCAACAACTATGATTCTGCAATCAGCCTATACCTATTCCAACAATTTCACTAAAGGCAAAGATTGGGAGCAATACTTTTGATTACCTTTTCGATTCACATTCATTCATGGCTGGATAGTCTTTTTTTTTGGAAGTGGCTATCCTCACCCCAGGTGAGAATAATTTATAAAAATGTGATCAACCTCTCACCCCGGGTGAGACTTGCCACCGTTGGCTATTCTCACCGGGTGTGAAACAAGACCAGTTTTTCCTTTCTATCGGTGTAGATGATCAAATGGATAAAAGCAAAGAAAAAATTACGTGGGAAGATTGAAGAATACCGGACCACTCGTAGTATTAAAATTAATGCGCGAGAAAGTGGGGTTGGTGGAGGAGGGGGGTTCAGGGGGGTCTCCCCCCTGACAAAATTTTAATGAATAGATCTACCGGTCCGAGATTCTCCATTGAGAGGTATTAAAAACGGGAAAATTATGAATTCCTAAGGTTTAGACATAGATCTAGATCTAGGCAAAGTCAGTCCGCTGGTCCGGTATTCTTCAGTCTTACCGCTATTTCACTCTTCGAATCGAGCAGAACTACGCGGGTCGCCATTTTGTTTTGCCCGGAAGTTCTAACAAGATCCTCCCCTCTTCTCTCTCTCTGTCTCTTTCTGAATACTGTCTATCGGTGTGGATGATCAAATTGACCAAAACAGAGTTTAAAAATGATGTTAAAACACAAAAGTAAATTACTTTGGTCGTTTATAAAGATGCTAGGGCTATTAAATTTTCGAATGGAGCCGAACTACGGGGGTCGCCATTTTTGTTTTGCCCGGAAGTTCTCGCGCTACTTCTCTCTCTCTCTATCTCTCTCTCTCTCTCTCTCTCTCTCTCTCTCTCTCTCTCTCTCTCTCTCTCTCTCTCTCTCTCTCTCTCTCTCCACTGCCCACAGACAAAATTGTACGCTTTTAGGCTAACAGTAGTAATGAAACGTTTGTTCACGGCTCAGAATTTTCTGTTATCACAATGTAGAATTCTGTGGTTCAGGGTGAAAGCAAAATTGGTTGATCTAGATCTAGGCTATAAACGGTGAACGCACAATGGGTGAGAATAGCCAAAAGACTCGCCTGCGCTATTCTCACCCGGGGTGAGAATAGAGGTGGCCTTTTTTTTTTACATTGTCATTGACTTACATTACAAATAGAATAGAATAGGGTAGAAGAGAGAAGACCCAGGCCCAGACTGAGGAAGTAGAACCTGAACCAGCTAGAGAGGTGTGTAATTTTTGTCCCTTGTAGAGTATAGTACACTTATAGTTATACCTGGGCTAGATCTATTCTATAGGCCAAGTTTGTAGTAGGCTAGATCTAGTTCTAATTTAGAACATAGAATCTAGATCTAGATCTAATTCTAGATTAGATAGATCTAAATCTACTACTGAAGCTGGTTTGTTACGTCAAAGACAGATGCGACTACACGCAGGGCGTAAATTGGGCTACGATTGGCTGAACTTTTGACCCGTCCCATGGCTGCTCTTGGCACTCTTGACGACACCCTCCGTCACTCACCACCCTCCCTTGGTAGTGCTTTCTCATTCTGCCCCCACCCTCCCTCTGTAGTGCTTTCTTCCCCCACCCCCTCTCTCTCTCCCTCTTCCTCTCCCTCTCCCTCTTTCCCAAGGTAGGGTAACAAACGAAAAAGTCCCCAATTTCTAACATGTATTACTACTAGATATAGATCTAGAATAGATTCTTCTTCTCCTTATATTTCACCTTCTTGTTCTCTTCCTCCTGCTTCTTTTTCTTCTTTTCCTTCCCTCCAACCCCATCTCTTCTCCCTCCTCTTCCTCCTCATTTCTCCTTCTTCCATGAGCGCTCCAACCCGCTGTGAGAAGACGGTCAAAGGCGCGAGACCGAAACCGGAAATTCCCAGAGTACTGTAAGCCTACCTAATGTATTTATGGGTCACAGGTTCAGCCAGTCACAGCCCGGTTTTCGCCCTGCGTGTAGTCGCTTGTTATAATTCAGGGGTGCTGATTTTCCTGAGAAATACGTATATTTGTGATAGCCCAGGCTAATTATTAGAATTTTGCGACTTCTTAGCTTAAAGATACTTTGGGGAAAATTTTACTTTAGATCTCAATTCTAGATCTTTACTCGGATGCACTGCTCTTGGGGACTATGTTGTCATATTTTTTGCTGCAGAACGCATAGAACTAACTTATGGGCGGGATAATCTGATTTTGGGCCCAACGATTGCTATGGAGCATGGGTTTTTAGATCTAGAAATGTAGGCCTACTATTTGGCGAATGCCAGTTATTTCGTCACACTCCAAATCCACAAGGATTTGTCACACACTTGCAAACATCAAACGCGTATTGTCTTAGCGGGGAGGTGTGTGGAAGGACAGGGGAGGAGGGGTGCCATCCGTTGTGCCTGCCTGATCAGCAACACTTATCACAACTGGGTGAGTTTTGTTGAGTTGTTTTGAATGAAAGATTTCCCCACAGTTGTTTTTGCCTCCTAGCTTGGTGAGTTATTCAGTTTTTATTCGTGGGAGGGGTGGGGTAGGCGTGAGTCGCTGAGGGTCAAATGACAGCATGTAGTATGTTCAGCTTCACAATACATTTGGCCATTAAAACTGTTGCAAATCGCTTTGAAGGAAATTTCAAACCTCATTGAAAGTCATTTTTAGGGGAGGTGCTAGAACCCCCTTTTTTTTATACCCATCAAGTTTTAAAAACGCGCAAAACAATACCATGCAATAAGGCTTAGTAGAATGTAATTGAAATGATGACTTTGAAAGCTGAACTGTCCTTTGTAATTGAATATTTACATTTTTGTGTCTTGATCAGTTTTTCATACAAAACCTACACTAAAATGTTTAAATGAACTTAAAAGGTGTTGAGCCCCAAAAAATAGATTGATAAAAATTGTCCAGTGGGTGGAAAAATGCAGTTTTCTTTGATTTCAATTTTTGAAGGTCTGATCTTCACAATGCCACATGAATAATACTCTTTAATACCTGTACCTTATTACCTGGATTCAGAAAATGTGCAGATCTGGACGATGGACTGGAGCTGTTAGCTGTGTTTGGTTACACGGTTGTCTTGACTAAAGTAAAATTGAAAAAATTTATAATATGACCTTAATATTCTCTGAATTGTGTCATTCTTTTCCTCGAAAATAAAAAAATTGGATAACCACAACCCAACTTTCGTCGAGACATTGGATTGCAGGAGTGTTATTTATTGCGGACTTGGGTGGCTTTGGGTTAAGTCACTCCGTGTACTTTAAATGTGATGGGATCTGTTCATTTGTAGATTGCAGTTATTCAGGAAAGTAATTGGTTATGTATGGGGTTGGGCAGAATGTATTGAGATCACTTTTTTCTTTGACCACTTTTTGTTATGTCGTTTTGCAAAGAAGTTCACAAGTAGTTGTGATGCTAGTGTTTAGAACAGGTAATTAATCTTTTAATCTGCTCTGCCTCTAGTATTGTATGCACAGGCATAAGCCCTACATGGTTTTATAGAAGAGTTAAAAAACTAAGATTGTTTCCCCCTCTACTAGTATAGGTCTTAAGATTTGTGTGCGTTCCTGGTGAAAGGGACCAGAAGACGCATTTGTTCGAACCGAGATATCGGGCTTCAAAGGTTGAAAATAGAATTTTGGTCAAAAACTAAGTCCCATTAAAAATGGATTCTTTAGCGATTTTTACTAGGACTTTAGTTTCTTTTACTTAAAATACATATGATTTTTAAAGATGTTTTTTAACACTAGGTATATTGCATAATCCCCAAAAATGCGTGAGAAAATTGGTTTTCCGAGTACACACTGCGGATGTTTTCTCCTATCCGTTCATAGTCGACCCAATCACATTGCATACCCAAATTTAGGTCAATTCTCTCCCCTCTCTAGTGGCGGGTAGTGAGCATAAATATGTACAACATGTAAACAAAGCAAAGCTTTGGGCATCCACGCCCTTCCGTTTTTTTGGAGAGCAAACTTGTATCGCATTTTTCTGCCTGCACAAACCTAGATCTATTTCTTGAAAACTTGCTCAAGGTGGTGGTGAATTTGCTTTGAAGACGTAATATAAACACTTTTAAGCTGTTTTTTAATGTTAAGTACTTTATAAAGTTAATTTGTGAGTAGGGAATGTGTTGTCGGGTCGCCTCGAAGCGTAGATCTATCTATTTGAAGCAGAAACAAAGAGGAAACTTTGAAGCCGTTTTTCTCAAAACTTTGTTTCCGTACGTTGCCTTACCCATATCTCAAAAACGACTGCAAATATTTTTAAAATTCAAAAAGCATATTGTTCAGAAATGATCTCTGTACATGACAATGCAAAAAAACCGGGATTGTTCAAAATGTGGACAGGTCCCTTTCACCAGGCATGCTCACATTTGTTCGCTTGTACCTCTGCAAAATCTTTTAGATTAATTGTCTGGTGTCTTGGTCTTTAAATGGGGACTTCAGTAGCACTCTGCATCTCCAATTCTATGGTTATTTTAATATTTAGTTGATTATACCATTTGTTTTTGTTATCAAAATTGTCGTAGATGGCCATCCATTATCAAGGAGAAAAGTGGCCTTCTTAGACAGGTGTCAGCATAACAGTGTCATAATGTAAAAAATGCATGTGGTGGGGGGGGGGGGGGTGGAATGTGGTGGTTTGTACAGGTAATTGTCTTATACTGGTGGATATAACTGGTTCGACTATTGTTTTTGTAAACATTTTTGGGAGTTGGTTGCAGGACGCTACTCGTAGCTTCACATCAATTGTGATAGAATGTTTTCCCTCAGCCTTTGTCTTGCCCTGAATGTGTGTAGTTGGGGGTTCCTATGTACCTTTGAAGCGCTTCTGATATTTCTTTGATTTTGTTTGGTGCTGTGCTTAAAAAATATGAGGCACTTTACTAACGAGTACTTAGGTCATGTGCAACTTTTCCTTTCAAGATGTCTTTTTCCATGTTTAAATTGTTTTTGTGAGAAATTCTCTAGGTTTGTCTTCAAGTTTTGTAGAGGAGGTGAAAATAAAAATTGTTTTAAAAAAGAATTATTTAAAAATAAATTGCGAACTGAGCTCTTGAACCTTACTTTGAAAACTTTTAACGTGAAATACACCAGGAATTTGTAATGCTTTGTCAGTTGTTTGCGTGGGTTGGGTTTTTAGTATTTATTTGTATTATATTTGGGAAAGTCAGATTTCAGGTTTAAAAAATAATTTTATATGGCAAATCCCCCCCCCCCCCCGGAGACCTGTCATTGGCTTTTCCCGTTTTGTTTTTTTGGAATATTAAGCCATGTAGATGGCAACTATTGTTAAATTTTGTGTATGTGCCTGTAAAAGAGGACGAAACATGTCTTTTGTGTCTTATATTGTTATTGGGATTTTTGTTCTGTTTTTTATGATATACTTTTGTAGATTTTCATTGATTCTCAAGTATGGCAATGGGTGGGATGTGATGTTTTTTAACACCCCTCTGCAGTCTTACTGTCAGTTTGTGGCCACTGCTTTCGGTCAACAAATTTCTTATTCTTGTGGTCTTTTGAAAAAACAATTCATGTGCTTTCTATCTCCAGAGGTCTGATTTCAGGTTTTCTTTTTTCAGCTTGAAAATTCTAGAAATGCCAACCGTAATTAATTGGTTTTGAATGTCTGGGTTTCAGGATTCATCTGATTATGTGGACTGCTATATCTAAGTGCTTTTAAATCTGTTTTGTTACTAGTGCTTTTCCTGTTCCAGTGTTTTTTTGTTTGTATGTGTTGACAGTTTGATTAAAAGTATCAGTGTATAGTTGTTCAAATTGTAGAAAAGTGAGATTTATTGTGCTTGCAATCCGAAGTGTGATTTTATCTTGATGAAATTCTTTTGTGTTTTTTCCCTCTTCAAGAAGCGTTTGTGAATGCGCAGTAAGTTTGCTGAAGCGGATTTGGGGCCACCTGCAATGTGAAAAATAAAGTGCAAATAAAAGGATATTTTATTATATCGGTGCCACTTTGTGATTGAACAGGTTTTGGCTGTTAAAATTTTTTTTTTTAGTTCAGGTGTTTTTGAGGACATACATGGTATTGTTTTGCTGTCAAAAATTTGGTTTTCTTTGGGTGTGCAGATACACCGACTCTTCTAGGCTGTGTTAGATTGAGGATGTGTGTCGTTTGTTTTCTTTTTAGCTGAAACCGGCTTTCTTTTCCTCTACAGAGAGTGAAGAAATATATTTAATGATGGGGAAGGCCATATCATTCTTGGCATTCCATGGAATGGGCCCCATAATCTTTTCATTTGCATGGGGGTGGGGTGCATTTGTAGTCCATTTGGTTTTTGCATCTGCCTTTCTTAGCGTTTTAAATGAAGCATATGTAGCTGAACTTGATCGCTTTGGCTACTTGTTTGCTTCTAGGAAACCATTGCACTTACAAGCATAATTTAACTCAAGTGGTGACTTATGCTTCAGGGGGGAGGACTAGTGTTAACATTGTAACTGATGTTTTATGGAAGTACGTTCATGTCTCTTTTTAAGTTTTGATAAACTAGTCTGTTTTCAGTGGGATTAAAAATGAGCAGTGCTCTAGTGGGTTTTGCTTCTTTACTCCTTTCAGACATCTTTCGTCTGCATCTTTCCTATCGTCCTTATCTCCCCTCATTCTTTTATGTGTAGTGTTTGTTTCTCCCTTTTAACACCTCTAATCTTCGGGACTTGTATGACCTTGTGTTGCAAGTGCCATAAAATGCGTAGTAAAACAAAAACAGAAAAATTGAGCCCATGGCCCTGGTTGTTTTTTTTGGTTAGAACTTTCGTTTTGTCGGAGGCTGGTGCGTTTTTTTCTCTTAAACTCCTGGCGTGCACTCAATGGCGGAATAGTAATTCTGTAGTAGCAGCTGTAGTAAAACCACGATGGCGGTATGGCTTGGGTTGAACACTTATACTCGTTAACTTGGAAAGGTCACAATGTATGGCTACTGTTCATTGTAACTATTTTGTACTTAGCCTTTCAGTTAAAGTGAAATGATAAAGAAAACAGAACCAACTTACTTTAAGGCTCGGGCGATTGTGAAAAAACAGTTTTAGAAAAGATGTCACAAGTCTGTCAAGTCTCTCGCCAAAGGCTTGGATCACAAGAAAAAAAATGCGACTTTTTATGCATGAACGGGTTATCACTCCACAGGACTAACTGCTTTACTGTGAATGGTATGAAATTGAGATAGATGTGGTTGTGGCGCCGTCTTTTTTATTTGTGTCGGCGTATATTTTCTTGCTAATTATGAATATTCTAGGTCATAACATGTTTCATGAATGTTTTTACCATCTCCTTGCTTTCTTGATACCTTGATATCTTCAAAGTATACATCGTCTTTGTATCGGGGTGAATTAGATTGTATTCAGTTTTGCCTTTTTGAAGAAAAAAAATGTTGAAGGCACTTGCTCACTTCAGTTGTTATATGTAGATTCTTGATCCGGTCCGTTTGAAACGATCGGACTGATTTTATTGATTTCACATGATTGTGATGATTGTCATCCATATTTCCTTTGAATATCTTTGGAATTGTGATGTGGAATCCATACATTTATGTGCAATCATCATTTGTTATCAGTCATTTTTTAAATTTGACACATTGCTTTAATGTTTTTGTGATGATTTGAGAAGTAACAATGCTGTATACTTTCAGGATAGGTATGGCGTGTTAGCCACCCAAATTAGCTGAGAGAAAGGAGATGGTACAGGAAGCGACATCGAGGTCTACTCATGATATTGATACATTTACTTTTTTTCTCTTTTTCTTCCCTCCTACCCCCATTCCATTCTCTTCTCTGTTTCGTGCATATGCGTGTGTTCGCCCGTGCAGATAGCCGCAAAGATCACTCCAGGCTCAGGGGACGCACAAGTACAAGGTATCAAGAGACCTATGGACGATGGCGCCTCCTTTGGTAAATTAGATCATTTTTCTCAAATTAAGACAACACAATTCCAACAGTTCACCTTCAGAGAAATTAACCGTAAAATAGCTGGAGAGGTCAGATCCTGAAAGGGGAGATCTCAACATGGATTTTGAAAATAGGGTTTCCAATTAAAATGAAACTGAAATAATGTTCTTTATATATGTTGTTCACAAGATTTCTTGCAAGCTGTCCTTCTTCCTGAACTCCAGAGTACAGAGTTGTGCAGATGCCCACTTTTTTTTCCTGTATCTTGAGCACAGACTACTTTCATTTTCGTAGAACCTATCGTTTGCTTTTTCTGCCCATACCCCTCTTTATAAAAAGTGAACGTGTGGCTATCGTGCCAATGTACTGTGAAACTGAAACAAGTGCTGCACATTTAAAAGAATTAACTAAGTAAACTTCTGTGGCAATGCTTTTGGGGGAAGGAGTGGCCCGTGAAACAACAAATATATCAGCTCCTTTGGTTGTCCGTTTCTGTCCTTTTATTTTGACTAACATCCTTTCTGCACTTTTCATCTGACTTACCAGTAGTCACATTATCCAACCTTGTTTGCTTTTTGTTTTGTAGATAGAAATAGTTTGCTAGATTCCTCCACAGTAGTTCTGGGATATCAGTTATTGTGGATAAAAGCTGTGAGAAACTTGCTGTAAACGAAATTGCAGGGGCAGCTTTCTAAAATTGGCTTCAGGGAATCAAACGCGTAGTTTTTGCTTCGCATTTTGACGAAGTTTTCAAAGTAACATGCTTAACTTGAGTGAAATGTTTCTTAAAACTGAAAGGGGGCCTCATCGCTCTAGTTGGTCAGTTTTTATTAATTTTGTATTGTGTTTGTAAATTCTTGTTTATTCTTTTATTGTTTTTGAATGTTGAAGCATTATTTATATGGAAATAATTCATGGCATTGAGAGAACATAAATGTTGAAGATGCATGCGATATTTTTCCCATGTTTTAGGGGCTATGGGTGCTTTTATTGGTTTTTATTTTTTTAATTTGAAAAGTTGCCCATGGGCTTATTTTCGTGTCAGTGATCTGAATATGCTTTTGATTTTGCTCGTAACAGCTGCGCAGACCTGAACTGTATCCTCAGTTTTGACTTTCTAAGCTCTTGAATTACATGTTCATTAAGTATTAACACTGCCTCACATTCTCCACACATCAAATTATTCTATTACAATTGAGACTGCCATGGAGCTGATTCTGTTGTATGACATGTTTATTTCCTGTTGGGTCTGGTTGCAATGTTTTTGTTTTATCTCTTGCTAACAAATTAAGGTTAGAAGACTGCTTTCATGTTTGGTTCACCAATATTGTGCTATTTGCACTTTTGGGTTCTCTCTGTCAGGAGTATTAAGTAAAAGTAGAATAGAAAATATACTTTCCCACAGACTTTGATTCTCAGGTTTCCTGAGAATGTTGCACATTGCAAGTTGTGGGAATACATAGAAATCACTTTGTGGCTGTCAAGTACATTTTGTTTAGAATGTGGTCTTGTGGCTTCTAAATAACACTTTATTTTTCATAGACTTTCATCAGTGTATTTTTGTATCAATAGAAGGAATACAATTACCATTGTGCATGACATATTGCCACATGTCTTTCAACAGTTTCAGATCGGTATCTTCCCTCTGTTCACAGTGCTTGGTCATTTAACTGGAAGTATGGAGTTTGATGTTATGTTATGGCTCACAAAATCATTGTGCCCTGTATTATGTTGTGCAGGCCATGTCATCAGAAAATACCATACTCCTTTGCACATTTTTTTATAGTGTGGACATTATCTGCTCTTATTATGCATTCTTGAAAATGTGTTGCATCTGATCTTTCAGGAGTTGAGTTTTACTTTGTAATTGATGCAGTCTTTTAAACTGTGTGTTTGTCCTATGCTCCTTATTTGTCTCTAAAAATGCCATTTGAAATCTTTATTTGGACTTGTTGATGGAAACCATTGACACTTTCAAAAAGATTGATTTCCTTGCCTGAAAATGATCATTAGTTTTGAAAATATTGATCAATGGCTGTCTGTTGCTTGTTTGTTGTGCTATCTTTAATTGTGATGGCACATTTCTTGGAGAGTTTCTTGGATTGCCATCAGAGCCCCGTTCTTTCTTCATTGGGCTAGCATATTATTTGAACACATTCTTTACTAGTCTTGATTCACATGAAATGTTTTGTTCCTTTTCATGTTGAATTGAAGATATGTTGCTTATGATTTATCCTCGTATTGAATCACCCGTTTGTTTTGAAATATTTTTTTGTTCTTTTGGTTTTTGGTCTCCCTGTGAAAGATATGTGTCAGTAGATTTTATGCAGACCTGGTTGGCACAAATGCTGACTTTTTCAAAATAGTTTTGTTCATATTTTTTTTTAGCACTTGTCATGCATGAACAATTTGTATGTTGCGTCAACTATTTTACTGTGTTGATATAATTGATTGAATTTTTTTGTTTGTTTGGCGCACAGTTAAATGTATGTAATCTTGTCGTGTGTGCCTGTAATATACTTATTTCAGAAGCTTGTCTTAAATGGCTGATCTTCTATCTGGCCAATCAAAAAGGAAGGGACCCCCCCACTCACCCACCTACCCCCGCATGGCTGTAAAAAGATTATTGTAGCCACTTTGGTCATATGAATCGGAAACATTTTGTATGAATTCATTGACAAGGCTTTAATTTCAAGTAAACATAAGAGTGAAAGATTTCTATTCCAAGTTTCGAGGTTATAAATATGTTTAAAAAAGAAAGGTATGTAAGAGAAAAGTGGATGGCGTGATATCTTGAGCTTTGTCTGTGTTCATACTGATGTATCTATTGCTCATTGTCTCTGTACATGTTAAAAACTGGTTCCTTATGCCTGTATAGTGTACTCTATTGAAAGCTAGTCCTGAGTTCTTTTATCTTTTTTGTCTCGTTTCAGGTGAGCCAGAACCAAAGAAAGTAGCTGGTGATTGTAAGTGTGTAGTTATCGAGGCGATACGAATCAGATGTTGCTAGTCACGGTTAACTGGAAAAAGTTTCAAGTTGACTGGTATACTGGAAGTTGAAGGGAGAATTATATTTTACAATGTAAATCATTTAATGAGATGAGAAAATATTTAACATCGGGCTCTTGTATGTCAATATCACAAATTTCTTAGTTTCTCAATTTTCCTTGATTTGCATTAGATTAAACCAGTCAGTGGTCTTAACTTAATGATTTAGTTGTAGTGCAGAGGCTTTGTCACTAATCATTATAAGACTTTCTTTCATTGGTGTGGTGGGTTTTTCACAAGCTTTTGGGTTGTAGTGTTTGATTCTCTGACAAAAATATTGTGTTCCAGCATCAATAGGAGCGCAGTTGAGAGCCATTGCAGATAGTCAACCGGGGTAAGTTAGATTTTTGTTTTCTCTTTCTCATAACTCCCAATTTTTTAGGGATTGGTTCTCCAAATAAGGAAGTAGCCTTTTCAAATGTCATTTGTCTTTTCTTACATTGAGTCAGTTTTGAATATTGAAGTCTTGTGTGTTCGGTGGTTTGCGGCTTCTCAATTTGTTTCTTTGGAAAAGACAGGTCTGACATGACGTGTAGTAGTGCTTTATAAGATTTTACTTTACTTGCATTCAGAAAAAAAAACCTTTTGACCCTTCTAAATGACACATTTTTCTGTTTTGCTTTTGTTATTATGAATTGGTTTCATTTGGGGATATGAAGCTGCTTGCAGTAACATGCAACCTGTTAGATTTTGAGGTCAAAGTTTGCATCATATCCTGATGTCCTCCATGGGGACCATATACATTGTTTTAAAAATTTTTTTTATCTTGTATCAAAGCTTTGAACCTGTTTTTTAATGGGGGGGGGGGGGGGGGGGGGATTTCAGTTTGTGATAATTTTTCTGCGTGAAGACCATCTGTTTTCGCTGCTTTTTTAAAAGCTGCTTTCATTATTGTCCTAGATTTGGACAGTCAACGGAAGCTGCACGGGCTGCTCAGGAAGCGGCAGCAAGGATTAACCGACAGTTAGGAATCAACCCTGACCCCGGCATGCAGCCTCAGAAGCCTGGTCCCCATTCTGGAATGGGCATGGTCACCACTGATGAGCACCGGGTGCCAGACAAAATGGTCGGCTTGAGTAAGTTAAATTACTTGAGAACTGAATGTGTTTGTCGAGAACAAAGCATTGAAATTTTAAGGCAGACAGAATTTATTAGGCCAGGACCTTTACTTGTAGATCTTCTGGTGTTCCTGTTGTCTGCAACATTATCGTGCAAGATTTCGCTAACACTGACAGAGTTTTTCAACTCCATTGTCAGAGTTTGATAGTAGGCCTTGCGACAGTCTTTTAATGAAGGAGAAAATTTGCAATGTACTTATGTGGAAGGAAACATCGTGTTTTTAAAAAAAAGTAGCGTTTCATAAACTAGGGATGTAAATGTTTCAGGTTTGCTCAAAGATTTTTTAACCCTTCCAGCTTTAAAAAAAGATAATTAATAAACCAATAATGAAAGGAGAGAGTGGTAGAAATCAATGAAAGTGAAAAGTTAAAAAGTTTCTCCAAAGTTGTGTAACTGAATTACGTTGTGCATTTGTCTTCTGGAGTTGGTGTTTCAATGTGATTACACAAGCAACGGCTAAGTTGCAAGAATGGAATGGGCGTAGATGCTCAATCAAGTACAGTTGAACCTGTACTGGATGATCCAGTGTCGGATAAAAGGGGTCATCTTAGACAAATGTTCCTCTTGGACGGTGTCATTATATTTTTAAAAACACGAGGTGGGAAGTTGTTTGTATATGCGATTGTCTTGGGCAGGTGGTCTTTAGAGCAAGTCCCAATTTATTTTTTTGATATTGTACTTGTTCAGACTTTTTTGATGAGCAATGACCTGGAGTTTTTTAAAAAAATACAGAATTTATGTGCTCGAATATATTTTTTTGTTTCATTGGTGTTTCCTAATTGATGAGCCTTGAAAATAGTTTTGAAGATATGATAAATCAAGACAGGAATGAATCTATTGCATTTTGAATATTTTTTGTAGAGCTGTTATTTTACTGGTCTTTTTGTGGAAATTTTTTTACCAATTTATTTTTCAGTCATTGGCAAGGGTGGAGAGCAAATCACCAGATTGCAAGCAGAGACAGGGTGTAAAGTTCAGATTGCACCAGGTTGGTTTGCTGTTTTGATAGCCAGCAATACTAGTGATAGTCACATGGCTTATCACTTCTGCTAGGTAGATTTTTTTGGTTCCAAAATGCTGTTTGTTACTAAATATATATAATTTTTAAAAATTGAAGCTTTATTGGTGGGTGGTAGGCGCGGGTGCTCTGGTGTGGCTTGCTTCTTCTTTCCGATCAAACATCTGTCGTCCTTATCTCCCCATCTTTTTTATATTTGTTACTCTCTCTTGTAACACCTCTAATCTTCTGGCACTCATATGACCTTATGCAGTTGGGAGCGCCGTAAAGCCTCTACTAAAACTAAAAGGGGCTTTTATTCCTATGATATTACATACTATTTGCCATCTGCAAGGATCAATCAAGTAACATGGTAAATATTCTGGGGGAAAAATTGGATGAAAGATTGGGATTTTGCTTGCTTTGAGGATGCCGCTTATCAAAGTAAAAATTAAAACATTTTTTCGTATTGAATTTTAGTGTCCTTACAAGTTTAGTTGAAGCACATGATGAAACAATCGACGGGCGGACTGAAAATAGATGGTGACTGTCGATGTTCTGATGTTGGTTTTCGTCATTTTGGGGAATTAGCTCCAGGGGAATTTTTTTTGTTTTGTTTGCATGCCCCACAGCTGCCTTGCAGATCTTTAAAATATTATTCACGTAGCCTTTATGGTGTAGCAGTTAGGTGATTTGCTGTCGTATGCAAGAGTTGTCAGTTTGATCCTTGTGTTGGGGTGGGGAGAATGGTAAATGGAAAATCTCTTATCTTTGTGCTGAGATATTGCCTCTGTCTCAGCCGGGATTGGTTTACAATTTTTAAACAACCTGCCTCTAAGTTTTTACTTCTCTTTGTAGTTTTGGCACAAGTCTCAGAGCATTTCCCATATTCCATGTTGTTTTGAATTTTGGATATTCAGTCATGAGATGAACTGAGTATTCCTTGGTTTTGACCTCTAAATAAATGACTATTTTACTGTCCAAAGAGCAAGTGCGACTGCCCTTCAGATTGAAGTCCTTTAAAAAAAAAAAAAAATGGGTTAACAAATAAGTTTGGGATAGATACCTGTAAGCTGACTTTGCTGCACATTTGAAACATGACATAGCTTTTGAAATACGTAATTGCAGGATTTAACTTTAATTTCTTGAAATAAGTTCAAGGGAATGTTTTATTCAAAAACCATTGTGAGGGTGCTTGAAGTATAGAGCACTTTGATGATGAAGCTAATCGACGGGCGGACTGAACTTTGCTTGTTGAACGTCGATGTTCTGATGGTGCAGACAAGGACGTAGAAATAATGTGTACGGATGGCAGAAAAGTTTTTCAGGAAGCTCGTTTATGATTGAAATACCTGGCTGAAATGTTCACAGTTTGGATTTTTTGTATTTATCAGTTCTGTTTTGTAAACATCAGTGCGCATATGCAACATCCTGTAGGGTCAGTGAAAGAAATGATTTGCAATGTGGGTAGTTGGCAGGTACTCTGATGCGGTTTGCTCCTTCTTTCCTATCAAACATTTCATCCTGATCTCTCCTTTTTTGTTTGTTACTCGCTTGTAACACCTAATCTTCGGCACTTAAATGACCTTATTGTGTTGCAAGTGCCTATAAAACTCTTACTACAACAAACAAATGATTTGCAAGCATTAGATTTTTAATATCTTCTAGTTCAAGGAACTTTTCATTAAAATTTTGTCAAAACCCTTGTGTGTTTGCAGTTCTAGCTTGTGGTGTCCAGGCTATATTTTTCTTGGCTTGAGATTTTGTTCTTTAGAATTGTAACCTGTCTCTTGTAAATAAGCAGAAGAGCACTTAAATGATGAAGTTAATCGACGGGCGGACTGAATATTTCTTGTTGAACGTCGATGTTCTGATTGTGCAAAGGAGGTAGAAGTAATATGTACGACTGGCAGAAAAGTTATTCAGGAAGCTCTTTTCAGATGGAAGTGACAACTGTCCAGTAAAATTCAAGGATTCTGAGCAAATCTAGTAATAAAGAAGTTTCCTGTGTCTATTACCTGACTGGGCCTCTGTTTGGTTCTACAGATAGTGGTGGATTGCCGGACAGACCATGTCAACTGACTGGGACGCCAACAGCCATCATGTAAGTATTGGAAATTTGAAGCAATGTTGTAATTTGGCAATTTCATGTTTCCTTTATGACTTTTTGTTTTCACTTATGTAGAAATGATTGCCTCCAGTCTTCTTACGGCTGTACTTTCAGAAAAAATGTGCGTTGGTCAAGGAAATTGAATTGTGATTTTTGGAAGAAAACTCACAAAGAAACTTTTTTCACCTCTATTTAAATCTTAAGAAATTGTTTGAGTGGGAGATTCTATGGGAGCACGATAAAAGCCTTGGTGAAAGAAATTGAAACCTATTCTAAAGTCAAGAGTAATTGGAAATGGGACATTTGGATGTTTAATGACTGAATCATCCCCAATTTGCATTGTCTGTGGTGTGATGACAAATTGAGTTATAATGGCAATGACAAGGGGGATTTGCTTTTTAACATACAGAAAGATACAGAAGATACAGTGGAGCCGCTTAAACCGAACACGATTAATCTGAAAACGATGGTACACCTAAACAATAAAATATATATCCCCCCTCCCCAACAGCAGTGCTTCGTCTTCCGCAATTGCGGATTTCCTCCAAAAAAAAAAATTTTTTAAATCGGAATAAAATATATCTGTAAATTACCTGTTGTCAACAATAGCTAACCCATACTGGAAGTGCTCTTTCATTTGAAAGTGTAGACAATGTCTTTCACTTTCATTTTCACTTTCTAAAGCTCAAGCAGAGCACCAGCTTTGTAAACAAGAGGAAGAAATGACGAATGTGGTTCAATTATTCAATAGCATACCTGCCAACCCTACAGAAAAAATCGGTAGATCACCGACTTTTGGGTCAAACTACCGATCCACCAATTTTGAGATGAAGCCACCGACTTCGGGATTCAGCAGGGTGACTGCCAGGCCCCGGGAATTTGAGAAAGTTAACGAATATTTGAAAACTAAATCCGATTACGCCCATAAGTTCATTTTTGCCGGTCGCGATTGTGATTCATTCGGCTCCCTCGAGGCTATGTTTCTTCACACAGACAGGTGGCTGTGGTGGCAAGCGGGTGTGATACCGACGTTTGATTGGGATAATCAAGATGTAGATCTACTTTCACTTTCGTTACCACCCAGAAATTTGCTGGTAGTAGTTTGATAACGCAACATTAATTGTAACAACATGCAGGCTGTGCATGGCAAATGCTGTGCCGCCTTGAAAATCAATCAATATTTGTCCTGTGCTGTCACTTGTGAAAAAAAAAGAAAAGAAAAGAAAGTTATAGTTATACAAGCGTCTTGTCGGGTTCGCCATTGTGACCGGTCAATGAACTTGCGCGTTCCATCACATTGTGAGCACCGGCACTTGAAGGGGTCACCAAAGTTCATTCAAAGTCTTTGAGCGCTGCGTAATATAGGACTCCGGAATGGGGGGGGAGGGGATTATTTTTTTTAAAGATACACTCAGGGGAGGGGAGGGGGCTGAAGGCAACACCAGGAGACAAAAACTGAACTTGGAAGCAAATTTTAGTATTCTAAATTTTTTATTACCACTATATCTAGATCTAGATCTAGAAAACTCTCTGCAAAACGCGTGTTGGTGCAGGCCTTGTGTGGACTCGGGATCCGTCATACTCTTTCCTTGTAAACTCTGCAAAGACAAAAGGCTAAGGCTAGGCCTAAGTCATCCAAGGCCCACCTTTTCTTCATCTTTTCTTCTTTGCTTCTTTTTTTGTGGGGGGGGGGGGGGGGGGGTTCATTTGTGTGTGTGTGTGCAGGTATGAATAGGACAGGAACTGCACCAACTACTAATAGGGTAAATGGCTCTGGTAGTTTTCATATTTGTCTTTTTTTTCTTTTTTTTTCTTTTTGTAATTTCCTACATTTGAAGTCGCAAACACAATCATGCATATTTGATGTGGGTCAAAATAAAATATTGATAAGGGTCCCAAATTAAGTATGCGACAAGAGGTAATATAGCCTACTACAGATTTTTTAGGTCAACTACAGATTTTTGGACAAAAATTTGCGTCCAACTACAGATTTTGGCCCAGGCAATGTTGGCAGGTATGCAATAGATTTTGGGCCTGTTATCAGACCTGTTTATTTGTAAATATTGTTGTGGATTAAGTTGAATTTAAGCTGTCAAGCTATTTATATCTAGCTGTTATACTATTATAACTTCTACACATTATGGTGCAAACCAACACAAGCAGAAAAAAGTTGAACATTTAACTGTCAAGTTTTATAGATCTAGCTGTTGTACTACTTTTGTGGGTGTACATTATCGGTACAAGGGAGAAAGTTTTTTTTTTTACTCTTGCACCTGTCTCATGTTCACGTTTTGTATTCTTTTTTAGTGGTTTATTGCATGCTGAACACGAATATGGCCTTCATTTTTGCCCCAAATCAATAGTTGAGTTATTGATGTTTGACAATAGTAAATTTAACTTGGGGGTTTCAGGGTGCCCCCCTTTCCTAAAAAAAAATCTGGGGGGTTTCACATGCGCCGCCCCCCCCCCCCCCGCATTTCACAATGATTTGATGTTTTGGCAATTAGGATTGATATTTACTTAAAAACAATTTTAGTGGCCATACGTGTGTTCTACAGAAAAATTTATGGCAGTTTAGCCCTCAAATCAATGCATCTGTGTGTGGACGCATAAGTAAAAATTTACCAGGAGAAAGCATGGCTTTGGATTTATGGATTAACACAAGCAGAAAATTATGTATGCAAGGTATGTTTTTTTCTCACTTATTTTCTTGTTAAATTTAGGCTTGAATAGTCAGAAATGGCATACTTAGGATGCCCTGAAACCAAAAAATCTCAAACACAAGGGGGAAGCTGTCCCCTTTCAACCCCCTCCCAGGGCAGCGCTGCCCTGGACCCGAAAATCCTAGAAAAATGACATCAGCTGCTGAAAGCTCTGAAACAGGTTCCCAAAGGACATTTTCAACCATCTTAAAGCACTAAATTTGAAATTGTTGAGGGGCTTCGCCTCATGAATCCCTACCGGGATGCTGTACCTACACCCAACTGGTGGCCTATGAAGCCCAGAGCCCCAGGAGAGAATTCTCTTTACTTTTCTGCTTTATCTGCTAGAAACAGAATGTTTTATATATGTAAGGCCAATGGTAAGCTGAATTGGTGAAAGTGGCAACTGTCTTTTTTCAGGTTATGTAAACAAGCCATGCAGCAAATCATAGAGCGAGGTCAAGGTGGTGGCCCTCCTATGGGTGGTGGCATGGATGGCATGGGAGAGGGAGGCACTGTGGTGGAGATGAACATCCCAGGCTCCAAAGTTGGCCTTATCATTGGCAAAGGGGGAGAGACTATTCGTCAGTTGCAGGTTTGTATTTGGTTGTAAGATGGTTGATGGTTAGGCACGCTAGATTGTAGTTTTTAAAGGTTTGACATAGTAAATTGAAGTGATGGATACCTTATATACAAAATTGAGGCCACATTTTTGTGCTAGTAAATAGATTTGGTTGTTTGTTACAAACTGCATACATGACATCAGGTACCAGATACTGTCCAAGTGCTTCTCGGGTTGCTCGTACATCAGCACCACTTTATAACTTGACAATGAGGAGTCTGCCGAGACCTTATTTTATAATGCCTTTGTTTAGCTTATATTTTATACTTGACTACAACCCCTGTCCTAGACTTCCCAGGGAAGAAGCTATTCATGATCATATGAATTTTAAAGCAAAAATACTCATTTTTTGTTTGCTGATTATTGAAACGTTATGCTAGCCGGTGGGCAGCCATATAAAAGTTTACTTGCAGCCTTAAATGTACTTGTTGTGGATACTTCCATAACTTTCTCTTCCCTTGTCAGTTTGATTTGAACAGTGTGATATTACATATTTATTGTGCTAAATGTTGTGTTGCCTGTGAATGTCTTGAAGAATTATCAGTGTTGATGTTTGCTGTTGCAGGAACGAGCTGGCGTGAAAATGGTGATGATTCAGGACAGCAATGCACCCACAGCCCTCGACAAGCCACTGCGCATCTCTGGGGAACCGGGCAAGTGTCAGAGAGCTAAGGAAATGGTCATAGACTTGCTGGCTGAGAAAGACGGTGTCCCTCGCCCTGGTGGTGGCGGTGGCGGCAACATGTTCAACGACTTTGGCTCCCAGCAGGGCCCCATGGGTGGTGGCGTGCCCAATGGCATGGATATTGGCGTGCCACGCCAGGGTGTTGGTCTGGTCATTGGAAAAGGTGGAGACATGATCAAAAAGATTCAAACTGAGACAGGGGCTAAAGTTCAGTTCAAACCAGGTGAGCTTATCATATTGACTGAAATTTTTTTGGGGGGAGCACAGATTGGCGGTTTTATCAATAGCACCAGGGAGGAATTTAAGTTTAGAAGAAATGTATTTGAGGTGTGCGGACGTAATGAGTTACTTCTTGCAATCCACAAGTCGAGATATTGGCCAAATATCGACACCAATGTCGAGTTGGTAAAATTTCAATTGAAGCATGCGTTTTATTATTTCATACTCTAATAAATTGTAAAAACTTTCTTCTATAAAAGTTGTGTATCCACCTCCATAGGGCTCGACTCTGAAGAAGGATCTCATTTTGGCTGCACACTTTAAGTATATGTGTGAGAGAGAGAAATGGTGTTTATTTCTTAGAAGTATTATTTTTATGTTATGTGAACACGTTTTTTTCTTTAACTTGACCATTTACCTAGGAATCTTTTGTTGTGTTGATAGTGGCCGCTCATTTGATTGTCAACCATATGCCTTGGAATGTTTTATGTTGTGTTGTTAGTGAACGCTCTTTTGACCATCAATTCCAAGAATTTTATCTTTGCTTGTGGCTGTTATCATGTTTCAGAGTGCATAAGTGTATTCATTATGGCATTGCTGTGCTCATTCTCTACCCTCAGACGATGGTCAAAGCCAGGATCGTGTTTGCTCCGTTTCTGGTCCCCCAGACAAAGTGCAGGCAGCAATCCGCATGATTCAAGAATTGCTGGGAAAAGCCAATATAATGGGAGTGAGTTTTTTCTTTTTAATGAACATGCCCTTTTCACACTCTAGTTTTGAGAAGCCTGGAATATTTTGTTCAGATTTCCCAGTTGGGAGAACACCATGAAAATGAACAAAAATAATATGGTAATGTTGGGGAAATAAAAATAATAATAATAAATAGCATTTGTATAGCGCATATCCCCGCTCAACAGCAGGCTCTATGCGCTTTACACTATATTATTACCCCAGCAGACCATAGAACACTCCGAAACATTCTCAGCTTCCCGGGAAGCATACAGTGCAAGCAGCTGATTAAGCGCTCTAACACTAACAAACTGACAAGATCTTTCGCTGTCTATAGCCGGGTACCCATTCCCACCTGGGTGAAGTGAGGAAAATTCGTGTAAAGTGCCTTTCCCAAGGACACAACGTCGGGCCCCTGACGGGATTCGAACCCACGACCTTCCGGTTGCGAGTCCGAGAGCCTAACCACTAGGCCACCGACGCCACCAAAGGCCTTTAGCGTAATTATTAAGGTATTTAAACTTTGAGAAAGGGGTTCTCGTGGTCTAGGGTTTACAGTGACTTCCTTTCATTCAATAGGTTCCGGTTTCGAATCTGTCTTTGTTTACTAGACACATCGTCGTTTAATTTTGCCAGGCCGTGTGCTGCTAGGTCAGTGTGACCGGGGTCAGCTGACCGTCAGTCTACATGCGCAGAGTTACATACCATGTCAACTACCAAAGTGCCGGATGAAATTCACTAAAACTCACTCTGAATAAAGACAATTAATGTGGGTATCTACTTACCAAAGGATATCATTGTTAGAAGATTAGTAATCCACATTTTTGCATTTTGGTTCAACAGCCAAATTCGTCGGGCTTATGATGAAATTCACATTACAGTATCTTTCTTTAAATTAATGACACAGATCTCTTTACACATTTTGTACAGTATGATCGCTTATATATGGTGCCGTGGTTGTTTCCTTGGTGCCTGCAGCCTCGATGCGCAGTGAAGGTGCTCTCTGGAGGAAATGTGCATTCATAACGTATCATAGTTTTTCCGTATTGTTTACGATGCCTTGAGCCCGCTTTTCAATTTTTAAAATTGACTGGTGACAGCTTTCCGTTCCTTGTTCTCCCAGGGGCCAAAGCCGTGTTGTGTTATGGATGGAATGCAGTTTTGTTCTAAATTGCGCTGTTTGAGGGTTTTCTGTTTTGGAAAATGTCTTCTGTACAGCTTCATGACAAAGTACGTGTCTAATGCTGTCTGAATTCCTGGAATAGAGGTTTTCGGAATAGGTACACTGTGTGAGATGTCATGAATTTGGCTGTATGTTTGGTTGAGAGAGTTGAAAATCAAACCTATAGTGTGCGCTTTGTCAGCAATGATTGGATGATAAAATATCCCTTTGCCGTGATTCGTATATCCAAGCCTTTCTTATCAGCCTCTGTTGAACTTAAGTCACATTCTTACACCCGCAAATGCGACAAAGTTCATTCAGGGAGGAGAAATGTCTCTCATGTGTGTGTTCCATTGGGAGATTCCAGTAAACCTGTTAGAAATGAATCACGGGCTAATAGATTCTACTTAATATGGTAACACGGCTCAATCAACAAAGATGAAATTTATACACATTATGCACAAATATGTCTGCCTTTCATAGAAACAAGAATCTATGAAATTAACGGAGAAGTGTTGAACTTAAAACAGCATAGAATCCAGAATACACAATTGCACGGGCCAATTAACAAGGCACTGCATGAGAATCAGATGTAAACGACTTTATATTGCAATAACAATTCTTTAAACAATTATGAAAATTATACACGTAAAGCACAGTGCATGTACCAAAATTTGTTGAGATTGAGCGGGCACTTTGGAAATTAAAAGTGAATTAAGTGCAGCACACACATTAAATTCGATGAAATTCAGAACATTTTGCACACATCTGCAAATATCGTCGCATTGAGATCGGGTTTTCGCAGACTGAGAGGGGGTTTCTTGCTCTTTTCTTATTGTATGGAATAATTCGTGGTTAGAGTGAGGATACCGCCGATAATTAGTGTAAAAAAGTGTCGATTACGCCATGACCTGCCCGCCTGTAGCTGATGCGCAATGGAGCGGCTAGTGACCCCCGCGTAACCCGGCATGGAGCGGTTCAGACGATGATTTAATGACTTCCAGATGTCGATGGCCTGGGAAACTAAGAGCCACGATTTCGGCCAGTTTTAGGCGCTGTGTAGAGGCCTACTTTCGACCGCTTTCAGTTTCAGTTTGAAAGTGGCACGAGTTCGTTGGCTTTTACTGATTTATTATCTAGTAGACCTGCATGTTTGCCGACAATCGTCTGAAATCCGACAAACGCGAACCGGCCGATGCTATCGCTAGGCCCGCCTGTATCAGTCAATGTGCGTAGTGCGAGGCTTGGCCGACTGCCAGAGACCCCTTTTTCTCCCGTCGGCTTCGTCGGCACTTTCGTTTTCGTGCCGACCGCCGACGCGCGCACCGCCGACTGCCGACGTCGGCGTTTCCGACATAATTGTCGGAACCTAAGTAGAAATGTGAATACGAAAAAGGACGACAACTTAAATTATCTACTTTCAGTTTCGTGCTCGAGCGGCCATTTTGAATTTCGTTTGTTGACTAATTCAATTGTTCAGATCATGTGGATTCATTCTAGTCCGACTCTCTTGTTCTAATAGAATCTAGAAATCTAGATCTAGATTTATATAGATCATTATAGACCTCAATGGAGGATTCATATTCCAATTCTATTGTGTCAAACCCTATCATAGGTTGTGCTGTAATCTTTATATTGGTAAAAATTTCATCAGGTGCGTGAATTATTTATTTATTTAGTAAAGATCTAGAATCTAGATCTAGATCTAGAATCTAGATCTAGATCTAGAATCTAGACTCAGCCGAGTCCCTCTGTTCGGAATCGGATGCGGATTTCTAGTTCAAGGCCTATTCCTATTCACTTGTTCTACAAGATCTAGATCTAGATTTATTTAGATAACTAGATTTCTAGATCTAGATATATATATGAAGGATTCATATTATATTATATTCCAATTCTATTGTGTTATTGTATCAAACCTTATTGCAATGTAGATGTAAGCCATATATAGATCTAGATCTATATGCTCCTTGTTTGTTTTGGAGTGTGGTTTTTTAATTAAAATTTTTTTTTTCATTTAGGACTTGTTTTGGCCTTTTTACATGAGGCCCGTTGCAGGTTCTTTTTGGGGGTAGGGTTAGGGTTAGGTCTCTTCTTTATTGTGTTTGTTGGGGTGGTCGCTCGTTACTCGGATGTTCTTCCTTATGACACCCACAAAGGCTTTGGGGGGGGGGGGGGTGTTGCGCAAAATTTTCAGACAATCTGGTTAAGGCTCACATGCAGGTCTAATCTAGATCTAAGATCTTTTGTAGATTACGTCCCAAGTCTATATCGTGTGATTTTCTTGAATATTTTTTATGTGGGAGACGGACTAAGATCTAGATTTCTTGTGGTTCTAATTCTACTTGTTGACGTTGTATCGTCACTATAATGCAAATGATAATTTAAATTTTGTTGTAGCACATAAGCCATAAGCTTAGAAACAGTCTATGTGTGTCTTGTGTGATGACAGTTTATGTAACCATTTTCGCTCAAAGACGGCCGTCCGAAAGTTTAAAAAAAAAATCATGTGGAGTTACCATCAATGGGTAAGATGTAACATCTGGCTCACTCAAAAAAAGGGCGAAAAATCTAGGGGAGGGGAGGGAGGGCTTAATTTTTTTCTCTTAAAAAAGAAAATTAAGCTGAACCTGTTCCAATCTCGTATTGAAACTTACGAGGCAAATGATCTTGATCTATTAGTTTTCACATGGAATTATTTCGTCATTGTGTAGATCTAGCTGTAAAAGGTCTTTAAATCATGATTTAAAACCAGTTGTCCTTAGAATCTAGATCTGGATCTCCTAGTCGCAATTGGATCAGGACATCATGGAAGAGACAAAAACAAAAACAGGACTCTTCATCGCAGTCTCAAGATTCAGTGAAAACAAGAAAGACAGGTTGGAACGGAAATTGTGGGATCAGTTTTGCATAGATTTTGTAGTTTGACTGAAGCAGTGTTTCAAAGACTCTTTACTATGACTTTGGCAAATGTTTGGGACAATGCTAAAAAAAGAAAATTAATATGGTTTGTTCGAATACTTCTCTACTCGTGCTTCGCTAGAGTAAGAATTTTTAGTGCTAAATATAAGAAGAAAATTTTTTTTCTCTGCCTGTCTATAATGGCCACACTTTTCCATGATCTTGAGTGGCTGTTGTGGACCGCTTTATACCTTTGTTGGAAATTTATTTGAGACTAAAACAGACTTTGTGTTGTCTGATGAATATGTGTTCAGCATCATGCAGGGCTGCCGAATTCTACCGATTTTTCTGGTAGTTACCTATTTTGGACCTGTTTTTCCACCATACTGACAATGGTGTCAAAACTACCGGATGGTCGCAGAGAGTAAAAGAAGGGGGAAGAAAGCCTGTTCTACAGTGTGTAATCTTCTCAGTTTTTGCTAAAATCCATACATTCTGAAAAGTCCGGTCACTCCGCACTCAATTCTACATCCAATACTAATCGAATAGGTGCCTTGAACGACAGCCCATAAATCCATAAATGCCTTTTAAAAGATCGGCTTGTTTCATAAATGCTGTACGCACACCCAAACATCACAGCCACTCTCCACCACCACCACAAACACAAATATGTGAGGGTGTGCGCTCGCGGGCTACCACCCTCCCCAACCCCACACACGAAGTCTCTCTCTCTCTCTCTCTCTTCTCTCTCTCTCTCTCTTCTCTCTCTCTCTCTCTCTCTCTCTCTCTCTCTCTCTCCCTCCCTCCCCCCCCCCCCCCCCTCTCTCTCTCTCTCTCTCTCTCTCTCTCTCTCTCATACACACACGTGTGGATACGCTTTACATGTTTTCAAAATATAATTATACAAATATCAGGAACAGCATGTTCAATGGTAACTACATGTACTGGGGCAACAATCTTTTTTTCTTTCTTCTCTTTGTACTACCTGATTTGGGGCCAAAATACCTGAAAATCCTGAATTTATCTGAAACAGGGACTTTCAGGTAGGCAGCCCTGATCATGTTTTTAGCCCCTGTTGTATTCTGCCTTTTTTGCACTTATTTGTTTTTAAAAATGTATTTTTGGTGAGACTGATTATGCAAATGTCAAAGGACTAACGTTTTCTCTAATTTCTTGTCAACAGGGTCAGCCTCTTCATAATTTTGGTGGCCCAATGGGTCCAGGCCCGGGCAATGATATGGGCAGAGGACCTGGAAATGGCGGTCCATTCTCCCCACCAGGGCCAGGGCGTGGTGGCATGGGGGGTAGGTTTGACCCCAACTTCCAGGATCATACCAGCTTCGGAGTGCCTGCAGACAAGTGTGGACTTGTCATTGGCAAAGGTAGGTGATCGTGTGAGATTTGTGATCTATTTATGCAATGGAAATGGAGGTACAAATAATTTTTTTCGCTCTTGCGATGTCACGCATTCTGTGATGGCATTAACATCTTGAGTTCTTATGCACAGTAGAATTGTAATTGTAAATGGGCTGATTCATCAATGTCATGCTCATAACTGCAACGGAACTGCTGCTTTTTCTTTCTTAATCCTTACTATCATCATTTCCCTCTACTTCTTTTGTATGTTTGTCACACTCTTATGACCCACTACTTCTTGGGTGTCTTGATAGTCGAAGCAGGCTTTATGCTGTAGAAGCTAGAGAGGTGAGCAGATTAAGTCTTGTTCCCTGTAAGGACTTCTCTGTTGACATCCACTCCTTGGCGCTCATATGACCTTATGCAGTTGCGAGCGCCGTAAAACATCTACTAAAACAAACAGGTAATTTGCGCCTTTCACTCCCGTATTCTTATTAGAAAATATTTTCTTTCATATAGCCTACAGCCAATTCCAAAAATCTGTCACACTGACCTAAGCTGTGGAGCACTTTTATAATTGCAGTTGCTTGTGTGATTGCAGTTGCTTGTGTGAACTGTTCAGTTCCGACAGTACTTATGTTCTTTATTGAAATTGTTGTTCTTGATTGTCTACTTAAGTTTTGGATTTACATTTCTGCTCTTATTAGGTGGTGAAACTATCCGTGAAATCAACCGCCAATCTGGGGCACATGTTGAACTTGATCGCAACCCACCACCTAACATGAATGAGAAGGTCTTCAATATAAGAGGGAACCCGTCTCAGATCCAACATGCCATTCAGCTGATCCAGGAAAAGACGGGTCAACAAGGAGGACCCAACGACCAGGTTTGTGGCGCTTTTGGTTTTCAAACTTTTTGTTTTGTTCTTGGCTTTTGAAAAAATGGGGGGGGGAGTTGCATTGGTTATGCTGGAACTTTTTCAGAAGGGACTTGTTTCTTATTTCATTCACTCTTTATGCAGTCTCATGGACAATTTTCAAAACTTACCCTTCGGATTTCCCATGACCTTTGAGGGATAAGTTCATGCAGGAAAATCTGATTGCACCCAAATATGCCAAGAGCTCAATATTGAGCTTTCCAAATAAATGGAAAATGTCTTGAAACTTAAACCTAAGGCAGTTTTCCTCTGAGCCACTTGCAAACATTCTGGTTTGCAATGATAGTGATTACACAACTATTTGAGTCCCTGCAATGATGTGAAAATAAAGCCGTAAAGCTTGTAGATGTTGTTATTAATTATGCTTTTTACTTTACAAGATTTTATAACAGACATAAAGAATGTGCATGTGTTTTTGAGTTTGAAATGTAATTATTGTGAGCTCCTAAAATACTTTAAAATATGAATATTAATGCTTGGTAGTAAAGCTCAGGTGTAAAAGGATCCCCACTTCAATACAATGTGACATGTGAGGTTCATAGTGAGCTTTGAAGAGCTGTTTATTAAGTATACTATGGGAATGGTTCAGCATTGATACTGTATTTGTTGGTTGTGTTGCACACCCAAACGTGTCAACGTTCGAGGCTTGGGTTCCTTTTACCCCTCGGATTTCCAACTGACAGTGACTATTTGTGAGGGCTTACATTATGGTAAAAGTGTTCAGCCTTTCTTCCCACAGGGACATGGCCCAGTTGGTGGACCTGGAGGTATGATTGGAGGACCAGGTGGACCCAACGGCCCACCCGGAGGACCTGGTCCTCAAGGTGGACCAGGAGGACCAGGGCCCCAGGGACCAGGAGGATATGAGCAGTTTGGTGGACAGTTTGGACAGCCAAAGTAAGTCTCCTTGGGTTGTGCCGTTTCTGAACTAAGAAGCAATTAAACAGGTTGTGTTCTAAAAAGAATTTTTTCTCCCACATTCCTTTACTGTGAGAAATCCATGACAGAAGTGGGAGTGTTTTTTCTGTTACCCCGTTGTACGTTGTGCAGAGCATTAGAGCTAGCTGTCCTCTCCTTATGGGGCAGCTAGTGTCGAGTTTCTGCTATATTATACTGCAAGGATTCTGATGGCTGATTGTTGCATGTATGTGATATAATTAGCTGTGAACGCCTTGCAATACCTACCTCAATACCAAGGAAGTCAGTTCAGGAGTAGCTGTCGTCTATGGTTTGAAAGATGAAACATGTAATGGAATGTGATATCTTTGTTTGGCATTAGAATGCAAGTCTAGGGGTGTAAATTGGGGGGGGGGGAGATTCTTGGAATTTTTGTGCAAATATGTGTGCCTAAAGAAAAGTACAAATAGTCTGCACTGAGAATTTTGAGCTACAGGCTGGTAATGACAAAAAATCACTTTTTTGACCAGAATCTTTCTATAAAAAATGATAGTTCCACCATTTTTTAAGTGTGTTAAAAGAGTTTTCATTGGGTTGACTTTTAAATATTTTATTTTGAATAATTTTGAGACGAGAGTATTTAAATATATAGCGAAAACTGCTTTTAGAAGGCGTTAAAATCTATTCTTGAAGCACGTTTTCTCTTCCCAGCTATATTTTACCATTGAATTTTATTCATGATATTGATGTCAAGTGAATGCTAAATTAGAAATGAATTTTCCTTTTAAAAAATACATTAGAAACAATTGAATCGTTGGGGTTTTTTTCTCCCGGGTTTGTAAGTGTCCTAAACTTAAAAGCCAATTTTCTTAAAATTTGATCTTATTCCTTTACTCTGTGAAATCCATGACAGAAGTGGGAGTGTTTTTTCTGTTACTCAGTTGTTCGTTGTGCAGAGCATTAGAGCTAGCTGTCCTCTCCTTATGGGGCAGCTAGTGTCGAGTTTCTGCTATATTATACTGCAAGGATTCTGATGGCTGATTGTTGCATGTATGTGATATAATTAGCTGTGAACGCCTTGCAATACCTACCTCAATACCAAGGAAGTCAGTTCAGGAGTAGCTGTCGTCTATGGTTTGAAAGATGAAACATGTAATGGAATGTGATATCTTTGTTTGGCATTAGAATGCTAGTCCAGTGGTGTAAATTGGGAGAGAAAAAAATATCTTGGAATTTTTGTGCAAATTGTGTGTGTGCACCTAAAGAAAGATACAAAAAGTCAGCAGGCAGAATTCCGAGCTACAGGCTGATAATGACAAAAAATCACTTTTTTGAACAAAGTCTTTCCATTTAAAAAAAAAAAGATAGTTCCACCATTTTTTAACCCTCAGAGCGTTGACTTCTTTCCCCTTATATTTTCCCTGTGTGCTGACTTTATTTTGTCAAAATTTCTAATGAAAGTAATAATAAAGTTTTTGAATATTGAAAGTTCTTTAAGAATATGTAAAGCAAAAAGTATTTTGTGAAATTATTGTTGAAGCAGTGGTGTTGGAAATGACTGAATAAAATCTGCCGGTTCATTAGTTCTCTAGATCTAGACCAGTGTAGATGCTTCGTAGGCCAACGTTATATTCCACAAAGTGTTAGCTCTAGCATCAAAACCCTCGAAATCATCTTGTGATCCGACATGAGTGTAGAAACTATACCACTGACCACTTGTTGTGACAGCAGTTGCTGTGATTCTGACTGATCAAGTCATTTTCCTTTGTGAAGAAACGTTACCAAGCAAAATGTACTAGGCTAGTGTTTTGCTGACAAATAATTTTGTTTTTTCAGCCAACCCCCACAGCAGCAGTTTGGAAGTGCACCCCAAGGGTGGAATGCGTATGGAAACCAGTACCCTCAACAACAGAACATGGCTAGTGAGTATTTTGCTTGCATCCTCGCTGTCTTTTATAGAAATATATGAAGCACTATTTTATAAGTCTACTTACTTTTAACCCTACTCAGGCAAGTCCTTCAATTGGACAAAAGCGTGTGGGTGTGGTGTTTTTCTTCTGTGACTAAAGTCTAGGAATATTCGATACTAGAGTGAATTTCTGTCCACATTTCTGTTACGGCATGTAGATTTGTCTCATGAAAATTATGATATTGTGATTGTGAGATGAAGCTGATGTGCTTTGCTAAATTTTTTACAATTCCCTTTGAGGTGGGGAAAAATTACAAATATTGAGTGCCGAAAGTAAATGAAAACACAATTAGATCTGGTTCTCACAAATATAGAACAGGTGAACACTTAAGATTTCATTGTTTGCTCCCCCATGTCACCCAAAAATTTGTTGTTACTATTTAATTTAATGGTTGATAACTATCGAAAGATAATTTTGTCTAAAAGGAATGGGTAAGTAGATGGGCTGCGTGCTTGGATTTGCCAAGCTTGTAAGAGAATACTGAAATATTAGTTTTCGTACCTACTTCTTTGAGTCTCCTTGATAAGTCAGAGAAATTGACAGCAATCTCATTTCCAGCTTATGGTTCCATATACAGGGAGACCGGCCTGGATCTTGTTCATTGGGCATAAGGAGAAATTGTGAAGGACGGCAGCGTCAAATATTCAACCATAACTTCTGTGCGCAAACTATTTTTAAAAGCAGCTCGGCTTGGCTAAGCCTACATTCTCGAATTATCTTTACATACAGAGTTGTTGGCCGTTTTTGTGTATTGTTTCCTTTTTGCGTCTTTTGGTGTAACCTGTCACCTAGTTTGTTGGCCAAAATTTAGCATATTAACAATTTAGCTAGGGTAGTTCAGTGTTTTTGGAAGAGGTTCAGCAGATACTGTTGATATGCACTGTCTTGTGTGATATAGTGTTTGTTTTTTAAATAACACGCTTTAGCATCAAGTGGGATGATTATGTTATCATCAAGGTCCAAGAGTTGCTGATTTAAGTGATTTAGGACAGGAGGAAATTTTGATTTAAAGAATGCTTGAGTTGGCATAATGACGGGGTTATTTGAGGACCATGGTTGTGAACTAGCCTTATTTCCATTTTGTTACGCATATGTTTGCGATGTAATTGACTCGTGTATGTTTTCTTCCCTAGACAAGCAGTCAAATGATGCCAATGCTGCTGCCTGGGCATACTACTATGCCACATACGGCCAGGGACAGCCAGGCCAGCAGCCTGCAGCACCCCAACAGCCTGCAGCGCCTCAGCAGCAGCCCATGCAGCAGCAGCAGCCTGCCCAAATCTCTTACGCTCAACCCAGTGAGTTGAGAGTCAATCACAGTAGGTCCAGATAATCTCCTCTGCTTTCACCTTGTGATATGTAGTGGGCTCACAGTTAAAAGCTTCTTTCTTGTGAAGTGCATTGTTGTTGCTGCAGATGGAACCTTTTTGCTGTGGGCCTCAGTTGTGATCTATGTATCCATCTTTGCGTTTGTCCCCAGCATTCTCATATTAACAGCTGCCTTTTCTTTCTCATTATTTGCTTCTTGTTCACCATATGAAAATCAATGTTACGGATGTATCATAACCATTTTGTGCTTGTCTCTTATAAAATGAAAGCTACAGAGGACATGGAAAGGATCCTCTTTGTCATTGTCTCAGGGGAGGGACAGTGGAATTTTTTTTACTGTAAGGGGTCTTGTCATATTTCTTTGAAGGCTGTCAAACTGTTTCTTTGTTGCAGAAATGTCTTATGTCCTGTCTTTAAAAAAAAAATTTTTTAAAACTATTTCTAGTGAATGTCCTTATAACTTTTAGTTCAGTTGTTTGAGACCCATGCTGGATTAGTTTGCATTTTTAATTTTTTTTAATGAAATATTTTGTGCCAGTTGTCAGCAGCTGTTCCATTACTGGACACTGCTGCGGCCTCGGCAGTCTGATGGTTGGGCTACCAGGGTCGTTATCGTGAGTTTGGGGTTGGGCTGGCATTACAGCTTTGGGAAAGGTACTTTTCACAAATTTGTCACCACTTCATCCAAGTGGAAATGGGTGCCTTGCTATATTTGGCTAAAGATCTTGTTAGTTTACTAGTATTTGAGACTTAATCAGCTGGTTGCACTGTACACTTCCTGGGAAGCGGAGAATGGTAACTGCCAGGCCCAGGGGGGGGCTGGAAGTTGCCAAGACCCTGAGAATGCCCCAGGAATTTTTCAGGGAGTCTGTCATAGAGTGGGCTATATTATCACTCATGATCAACAAATTTATTTTTTGATTATGCAGCGCTGAAGGGTTGTTCCGGCATTTTGTATTTCACAGCGATCAACCCCCAGACTGGCCAGCCAGACTACAGTCAAGCTTGGATTGAATATTACAAGTCTCAGGGCATGATCCACGAGGCCCAGATGGTACTGCAGCAGGTGGCTCAGAATCAGGCAGCTGCTGCGGCCGCTGCACAAGGGGGACAGCCCGGACAGCCGTGAGGAATGACTGCCACTAGACTATGGTGTATGGCCATAGGTGAGCTTTTGCTAGCTGTAGGAAGACTTATTTTATGTTGTCCAGCAGGGTCAAATTAGTCATGGGAAACAGATGCCTCTGATTTCAGTCTTTGGTGTAATGATTTATTTTCAAGTTATCTTCAAGACTGCTGATCAATTGAGATTGGATTGACTACTGTTGTTTGCTCTGAAGTAATCTGTTTAGAAAGAACCGGGCCTCTGTATTTTGTTATTGGAGGGTCGGGAACTTTTTATTTCACTTATCATGGTTGTTAAAATAGGCGTGAAACTGGTGCTTTAGTTTCTGAACAAACCCTGATCCGACCTCTTGCAAGAAGGTAATAAATCAGTCAGTAGGTCATCCCTGCGCTCAACAACCGTATTGTTGATAATACAACAAAATTTTGTTTTGGCTGTTTGACTTGATGTAAAAATTAGGTTCCGTGTTGGGAGTTAATGTTAGTGGCACCTAAGGTTGAGAGGAGAGAGGGGCTCAAGTCTGATGAGTGGTTTCTTTCCTATACCCCCTCCAGTGGCGGAGTCTGGCGTGACGCGTGTGGACAAAGGCTCTCTGTGGATGGAATGACCAAAACGGAGTGGCTGCAGCTGAGGAATGTTCAACCAGACAAGTTGCTTTTAGGATAGGCGATAGTTTTTATGTGTATTTTCCACAGCTATGTTTCACCCCCTCCCCCGTCCCCCTGTCTTGGTGGTTTGTCTGTGTGCTGTCCTGGTCACTGTGGGACATCTTTGCATCATTGGTGTCTGCAATGTTGTGGTTGTTCAGTGTACCGTAGGCAGTCTAGCACATGTAGGAAGAAGTCAGTGGTCAATGGGGCAGTGACAGTATCGGAACAGGTGCTGTCACTTACTATTGTCCCACACCAGAGGCTTGTCCCATGACCTGCATCAGGACCACACTGGCACACAGTACACGGCCAACTCCCCAAACTAACACATCCTCACATGTGTGAATAAATATGATAGATATTTTACGGGTGACTCACTATTGTCTTGAAATTTATCCAGGGGACTTACTAGTGTTTTCTGTTTGGTAGTACAAGACATGCCTTGTATGGAAATTGTACATGTTTGTTTGTGTAGTTCCCACTGTTCTCCCAGAAACCTCTCTCTTGTTACTTTTTTTTGGTGGAGAAACTGAGAGCTTTTGAAGTTGTTTTTTTTTTTTTGCACAGGCGTACACTTGTCTTCTTATACTGATATGTATTTGGATTTATCGAATAGCTCAGAGTATATTCATCTAAACTGATGAAATTGTTTGCACCTTGTGGGGTTATGTCAGGGAAAATGTTCCATACCAATTTGTGGGTAGACCTGATGAAGCAGTGCGAATGGCTGTCGACCTTGTTTGTTCTTTGAAACAATGAGCTAAGAGATTAGCGTTTGTACATAGCAGCTTAAGATGACTGAGCCAGAACCTCCTTAGTGCCGCGGAATGCAGTGGGTTTGTGTGTCACTAGTTCTAGCTTCCCATGGTATGCACCACATTCCAGTTGCTATGGTGTGTTGTGCGCATTATGATGTCTTCTAGACATTGGGTTTCTTGGATGGTATATTTTCTATTTTCCCCTGCCAATTGAAGTAGAACACGTGTATTCTGAACTATTTCAATCAGGTTATTATTCCTTCTTATGGTGTTGGTCTTGTGTGCTCCACTTGTCCCAGCCCGTGTCCAGTGTATCGTATTTGTATGCCTATTCGTAGTAGTTTCGATATTTATTGTGCTATGTTGTTGCCGTGTGTGGATTTTCACCAGCTCTAGAGATGGTTGCAAAGCAATAGGTGTAAAAATATTCTGTAAAAGCAGGAACGTTTGCGGGAGTGTGTGTGTGTACATGTTGTCAAGAGTGCAGCATTCTTTTGTCCTTGTTTTTAGTTGACGTTTCCCCTTCTCCGTTTATGAAAAGATGTAAGTTCATGTCTCCTGGTATGGTTCACCAATTGTATTTCTTTATGATGACTACATTGAGAGAATTAATGGCATATGGATGACCCTGTTCTCTTATAGCTTGTTACTACTGGATTAGAAAATAATGATGACGTTGCTAGACTACAGTTGTACCAATGCTTGCATTTTGTACATAGAGAAATACAAGTGTCTTTCCCTCCAGTTACTAAGATAATGTATGATTTGAATGAGCATTGCTACCAATTTCATACATATTCCTGAAAAACATTAGTGATGGCAAACTAAGACAGAAAAAGAACAGTATTATTCCATTATCATTATTTAAAATGTTTTGTTTTTTAAGTTAGAAAAATTCATGTTGACAATGATGATCTGAATTTTTATAATGCTTGCTTTGTTTACCTTTTTAAGCAAAACAAAAACTATTGATGAAAACCATTTGAGGTTATGAACATATCGTATAATGTTATGTTTCAGATGTCATAACTAATAATACAATGCTTATTGAGAATGCCAAAGTATCCTTCTCTTAATAATGTTTTATACTTGTTCCTGATCTTGATGGTGAAAAAACTGTAAGAATTTCTGTTCTGCTGTAAATGCAGTGTTTTTCTTTGATGCCTATGAGAATAGCTGTATGATTTCCTTTTTCTCCTTGCAATGGTACATCTCCAGTACAACTATGCCAAGCACACATCATTACTTCTATTTCACTCTTATCTGTTGAGTTTTTATGTTCTTTTACTTCCAAAGTATGTCATGTTTGCTAGCGGTGACTTCACCTGATTTCTGTCATATGTTGCCTGTGTTTGGCTTGATTACATCTATGGATTTTATTTTTCTCTTATTTCATGTTGTTACCTGAATTTTGTTCCGTCTCCGTGTGTTGCCTTTGTCTGTGTAGTCTTGTAGAGCAACAGCTGGCAGGGCAGGGTGGTTCTGACTTAGTGCACGTGAGATGCGAGTTGTTCCTCTGTCAAGGGGAAGTAGGGCAATCATCATGTTCCTCTAACTAGTCATGTTTGTTGACTCTTCGTTGAGAGAACGGATCAGCAGGCACTGCGGCCCCAGCCTCCACTCTTGTATTTCTTATGTGACTGTCGTGGTTTGATGAAGACGTGGAAACATTCTGATGTCATGTATAATTTCTCAAATGTGATGAAGATATTATGTAGGTAAAACAAAGATTCATCCTGTTCTTTTTTGGTTGGTTTTTTTATTTTAATTTTTTGTTTTAAATATGACACATGCATCTGTAATCTTTTAATGCATTCTATTTGACATTTGAGTATGTGCCATTCTTGAAATTGGAGATAAGAAAAAGTAATCATTCCTTGTAGTGTTATCCCTCTCCCCACTTAACTGGATAATAATATGACTTTGCTTTCACAATTATTCTTGTGGGGATATGTCCTACATGATGTAAAAAGAAAAGTATACAAATGCTGTAAAGCAACTAAGATTGTCTCAATTTGCTCTTGCTATGAAAAAAGACCCATGGATTGTTGATGAAACTATTTTTTACTATTTTTATTTCATTATTGACATGTACCCTGTTACAAGCTGTGATCCAATCACATGATGTCAACTATAGTCTATGTACTGATATGCCATCTATTTTTATGTAGTAATTTAGCTGAAATTGCCCAGTCACTTGAGTTTTATTGAGTCATCTTGTCACTTTCTAGCAATATCATGCATACAGATTTTTTATGACCTCAAAGCTTGACTTTTTTTTCCTTAATGCCTTGAAACGTAAGTGAATTTGATAATGCATATTATAGACCATGTCTTAGTTGAATTGAACTAAGAGAAAACAAACAAACACATGTTTTGACTTGCTCAGATATGTATTGCTATAAGATGTAAATTTAGAGTACGGTACACATAGGTTTTCCCACGTTATTGAATACTCATAATTTTTGACTATTTTTTTATCCTCTTTAATTTGTTATTCAGCAAGTTTGGTTTCTATTGTTTTTCTGCTCTTGTGTATTATAGATGTACCTCATTCCTCAATGGACAGGACACCAAAGCCGGGTAGCAGCTTGTCAGTTGTTGTTGTGTTGGCTCTGCAGGAAAATGTTTGCCGCAATTTTATTGTTCTTTGAAGCCTTTTCAACATCGCTTTCCTTTCACACATGTGATCATGACATAGATTGATTATTATGAATTCTGGCTTATTTTTTCTGTCTTTTTTTAATCATGTGGATGTATATTTTTAGTGCCCTGTTCTCTTGAAATTAGGAAACTTAAATTCATGCCGTAGAATTGCCAATTTCTTGTGGTATATTGTTTTAATAATGATTTGATGAAAAACTATTCCAGCTCAACATGAATTTAATGTGCACAAGGCCAATCTTCTCATTTCCACATTTGTACGACTATATTATGAGATAAACCGATGCTCAAACACACATACATAGTACCGTAGATCTGTGTTTTCTTTGGCAGACACAGACACGCACCCACAGCAGTTACTTACTAGGTCTTTACCGATAGACTATACAGCCATTGCACATTGTTCCATTTTGTCACATTAATTTTCAGTTTCTTCATTTATCCCCTCTCCCCCTCCCCTATTTTTTTCATTATGTCAAGATCTCTTTGAGAAACCTGGGTGCAAATTATCCTGTGACACACACACACTTATTCTGAGACATTTCGTAAACAATGACTTTTTCAAGCGAGAAGCAATGCTGTTGGTGAGAGGATGTTAGCCCACTGTCTGGCCAGAAGATCTCAGTGGCTCTGTGGTAGGCTACTTGTTCATGTTCTAGTTGTTCCTGTGACAGGTTGGTTTGTTTGTTTTTTTCTTTGGAATGCTGAGCATGTGTTGCTAGTTGTATGCAGTGAGTGAGAGAGTGTGTGAGAAAGGCTCTGGTTGACTTGCTATTGGGCAACCCTTCAGCTGGTGAGGAGAGCCCCTGTGCTCCTCGTGACTGGGAACCAAGTTTTTATTTTTCTTATGTTTGTGTTTTTCCTATCTCTCTCTCTTTGTGCTATGGTCTCTTGTACAAACAGTCTTGTCATGCTGTTCAATAACTCTCCTACTAGCCTTTTTGTTGTTGTTGTATTCTCCCACACAACAAAGTTTCTAGTGTTGTATTGCATTGATATATTCTTATCATAACTGTTTGATCATTACTCAAGTGATTAAAGCGTACTGTTGAGCACTTTCTATGTAACAAGAAGTTATGTTTGTCTTTTTACATTATTGTTCCATTTATTCTTCATTGATTGTACCGGATTATCATTTTCCTTGCCGTTGCTGCAATTTCACCTGTCAGAAGTGAATACTTTTCAAAGATAGTTAAAATTTTAAATCAACTCTGCTTAAATGACACACTGTATTGTATGCTTTTGATATGGTATAGAATTTTATACTAATTGTAAATTAGTTTTAGTTTGATTTTTGCCCTTGCTTGATTTTTTTGTCCTTGTGTTCAATAGCAAAAAATGTTTTCCCCGACTATTTAACTTTGTATTCTTACTGGCCTTGGTAATCACGTGTGTATTGGTATGATTAATTCAGTCAAGTTTTCTCATTACGATTAATAAAGCATTGTTACTGAATCTTTGGTTTTTAAATGTATATTACAACAGTAAATTTCTATGGAAAACAGGCTCTTGGTTTTTCTCCCATTTCTTGTGGTAGCTGTTGGTATTGATGTGTTGTGTGAGAGTAGACCGCCATGGTGCGGGTGGTTGGTGGGTGCTCTGGTGTAGTTTGTCCCTTTTTTCTTTTCACAACTTTAATCCTGATCTCTTCTTTTGTTTGTTTGTTGCTCTTTTGTTACACCTATCTTTGGTGGGGTGGTTGGTGGGTGCTCTGGTGTGGTTTGCTCTTTCTTTCATCTCAAACTCAAACATCTATCGTCCTGATCTCTGATCTGTCCTTCTTTTTTGTGTTTGTTACTCTTTTTAACACCTCTAATCTTGCACACATACAGTGGCAGTGGGACTGGAATTCAACGAGCTAGGATTGAACGAGAACTCTGGTTCAACAAGATGAGAGATTCCGGTTTTTTTTCCTTCTTTAAAATCAATAAAAATAACCCGGATTCAACGAGCATTTAAACTTATAATCAGCGAGCTCGGATTCAACGAGATGGCTTCCAGGGTGAACAGCCCACGGAGACGTGGCTTCGAAATTTTTCTCCCAGGATGAACTTTATGAATTCCCGAAAACACATGCGTTGTTGGTACGTGTCTACTTTGGCGTCTGCCGGGGTCGGATGGGCGGCCTGCACACGTGTGTGTGCGTGTCGGGGAGGGGGCACTAGCGGTCCGGGTGTTGAACGTCGCAGAGATACACACAAACCTGTCTGCGTCTTTTCTCCCTTTCGGCAACTGATCATTATTACAATGATAAGCTAGTATTGACGTAGATCTACGTAATATAAATATAATGAATTGTGCGCTGGTCCATGGAATCAAAAATTGCCGCATGCTTGGCTCTGCACAGCAACACAACTTTTTGATAAATTCGCCCCTTTCGCTTCACTCCCCCATACTGCAAAAAAGTCGGAGGTCGTCAACTCAGGTCAGCCCTTAACTTTCATTTGCTTTCATTCGCCTCGCTCGTTCCCTCTGTGTACATAGTGGTATTGTTGGGTGTTGTGTGGTGTCATTTTCGAAAATTTGTTGGTTTTGTTTTACTTAACACATTACACCCTAACTCGCCCGGGAATTCCCTTACGCGCTCCACCCTGACTCGCCCGGAACCGCCCGCGCCGACCCAACGTCTTTAGAAACGAAAGTCTCGCCTTGACGAGACTCTGGGGCCGGGATTTTGATTTGCATAGTATAGCAAAAAGTTTCTTCTTTCGTTTGATACCGAAACGAAATTTTTAGGGCTAGTCGTTTTAGTATGAAGGCTGATCGAAGTGCGATCGCGTTACCGACACTTTGAAAGTGCCTCGACTTGTTGAAAAGCGACACAATTGAGTTCGAAAACGGAAATAACAATGGATTTGAGCAAAAACTAACATGTGACAAATCAGATGGCTCAGATTTTGATGAAAACGTTGTAGGAAGAGTTTGGGGCGATTCCGATTTATCAGACGGAGAAATTATAGAATTTAGATCTAGGGCCCGACCGCGAGGCTGAGAGTGAGAGTGACGGGTCGGACACCCCGATTGAACTAAAGTGAGAACATTGCCAACAGTTTGCGCATACATAAAGTTATATTTTTCTGAAACTACATTCAGTTGTCTTTTTAAGTTTTATTTTTTCAGGATTTTTGGAATTTGTTTAGTATTTTTAAAATGTGTTTTTTAAAGGCTAGTATTCAGGGGAGGTGGGTTCTTTCCCCTTGCTTAGGATCTAACAATGGACTTCCCTTCCAGGCCCTTAGGGTGTAATGTGATAAGGTCCAATCTGATCAAGGAGAAGCTGGAGGAATGCAACAGCTTTATTTTCAAATAAGATTTTTTTTTTAATCGCCATTTCTAAGAACATCCGCTAAATGATGATACATATGTATTTGTATTCTATGAACCCAATATCAATGTGAAATTTGACATCGCCGTTTTAACTAATGGAGCAACATCAGCTTCTCAGAGCATTATAAAGAAAAGGAGAGGGGAGGAGGGCGAATCCACAATGTCGCTTCAGGTCCCTTCCCATTTGCCTCCCTCTCCTCACATTTTGTTTAGTTGGTGAAAGGAGGTGAAAAGCCGATCCACTGTTTTTGTACCTTTAAATTCTCGTGTTAGGAGAAATTTTCATCAAGTAATGTATTGTTGCTGAGAGAGATGTATCTCACAGCCCAGATTGGCCCCGCTATGCAGCCGTAAGCCCGCCTCCTCTTCCTGAATTGACTAAAAAACTAAAAAAAGACGGTGGTTGGTGGGTGCCCTGATGTGGTTTGCTCTTTCTTTCCTATCAAACATCTATTGTCCTTATCTCTCATTTTTTTGTGTATAGTGTATACATGATGTATTACTGTCTTGTAACACATATATATTCCTTGGCATTTAATTTTATGAAAACTAAAGAAACTACCACAAAAAAACAACAACCAACAACCTGTGGTAACACCTAATCTTTCTAATTTCTGTGGCACTCATATTATGACCTACAGCGGAAACCTGATGTAACAGGGATGGTGGGAGTAGATAAAAAGTCCTGTTATATCCGATCCCTGTTAAATCAGAAATGCAAGGAAAGCAAGCATTTGTGGACTAATCTAGCTGTACTTATTCATGGGTAGTTTCCCTTGCCACAAGTACCCACGAACAGGGGTTTTGGCACCAATTTTCTCCTTGCCTCCTTAACGAGCCTTTGTCCCTGCTAAACCAATTGGGCTCCGATGAGGCCCTGTTATTGCCGGTAACTTTCAATAGAGACAAAGAGTAGAAAAAAACGAAACAGGGATTTTTAAAAATCCCCGTTATTACCGGATCCCTGTTATTACCTGGCCTGTTATATATATGGAATTTTATCCGGGTGGCGACCAAAGTCTACTCTTATTGATTTTAGACGACCAAGGGGTCTTTAACGTGCGCAACTTACACACGGGCCCTTCGAGATTTTTCGCCCTTGTACGAGAAGGCTAGGTGTAGATCTTTTTTACCAGAAGATTAGGGGTGTGGCTGAAAGACAACAATAATAAGGAGCCAAGGAGTAGCAGTAGAAAAGCTGCAGAAAGACTTGAAAGAGTCAGGAGCCTAGAGGAGGGGGCAAAGGGGGTATCTTGTCCATTCGTTTTGGGATTTTGTCAATAGTCGGACCACTGTAATAGACGAGCATACCGAATGGCTGCTATTGCTGTGAACTTTACTGTAGCGTTCATTATAAGAGACTGGGCTCGGGGATTTATTATGTATAAGTTAAGTACATGTATAAGAGTTAAGACTGTTGCAGCCGAAATCCTCCTTAAGACCGCAGTGGAACTGGGATTAGACGAGGTCGCCGGGCCTGACCTAAAATCTCTCCTTGAATCCAAATCCAAGTGTTCGTTAGAGCAAACATGAGGTTTTTGTGTAGATAATTACAGGCATCATCATCATCATCCGGTGCCTTGCCGACTGGCGTGGGCGACCATGGACCTCCACTTCACCCTGTCCTTCGCTGCAGCAATGGTGTCTGTTGTTCTTGCTGCTCCCAACCATGTTGTCATCTTGTCCAGTATCTTTTCCCTCTGTCTGCCTCTGCCTCTCTTTCCATCAAACTTTCCTGGCACTGAGCAAGTAATGTATGAAGAGAGGCTAAACAAGTGGTACCGGAAATGCCTGAATACTTTGAGTGTGCCAAAAAAAAAAAAAAAAAGAAAAAAAGACGGATTCGTCCAAATGCCTGTCCACTGTCACCGTTGAATTATGCGATAGTGTGGCCGCGGCTCTCGCCTAATCTGTTTATCAAAAATTTAACGCCTCGCCATGTGACTTAAGGGAAGTAATCAGAGTTATAAGGCTCATTCAAGTGACAAGTTGGTTATTTCCCTTGTTTAGGGAGTTTTGTTCCTTGAGCATGTTCTGAATGTTCAATTTTTTCAATTCATCAAAAGTTCTCATGTCTGCTGATGTTTCATGTTTGACAGGAGTCCCTGGTCTTAGTGATGTGCTAGCATCAGATGTCCTTTTTTTTCCTCTTAAATTTGTAATAGTCAAAGGCTCGTTAACAATGTGTAAAAAGGTAAGAGAGAGAGAGAGAGAGAGAGAGAGAGAGAGAGAGAGAGAGAGAGAGAGACGAGAGAGAGAGACGAGAGAGAGAGAGAGAGAGAGAGAGAGAGAGAGGAGAGAGAGAGACGAGAGAGAGAGAGAGAGACGAGAGAGAGAGAGAGAGAGTAACGCAGTGATGGAGCAAGCCCACGCAAGCCACGCCACTGCAAGCACGCGCAGCGGGTGGAGCGAGAGAGGGCTGCGATGTGCTGCAGACTTCGATCTAGGCCTAAGCCTAGTTACATCCACGCATAAAATAATAATAATGGATTGCATTTCTATAGCGCATATCCACTTCTTATGCAATGCTCTATGCGCTTAACATGATAGGTTACAAATCAATTTTAAAGGTACATAATGTTACATACTCGTCCAAACACATATTCACTCACGCACGCACCACACACACGTACATACACACATACACACATACATGCATATGCACATACGCACATATAAACTCACAACGATCTACAGCTTGGATGGATTCTGTCTAATCGAAATATGATGAAAATAGAAATGCTTTTAGTTTCTTCTTAAAAATTTCTAGATTTTCTGCTTCTCTGATAGTTTTTGGAAGCCTATTCCAAACAAGTGGGGCAAAATATGAAAAAGAGCGTTGGCCATATGATTTGTAATTTATTTTAGGCTTAACAAGGGTTGTTTTGTCACTTGATGATCTGAGCGTTCTAGGAGGAGGCACATAGGGTGTTAAAAGCTGTTTTAGATAGTCCGGTGATAAATCATTAAGCACTTGTAGCAAGTTAAACAGATTATATATATATGATACGCTCTTTCACTGGGAGCCAGTGTAATGCTTTTAAAATAGGAGCCACATGATCATGCTTTAGTTTTTAAGTAATTATTTTGGCAGAAATATTTTGTACTCTTTGTAGTTGTAACTGTTCATCAGGTACACCAGCCAGTAAGGAATTGCAATAATCAATCCTTGACAATA